TGTCAAATTTTGTCTACTGCCTCTCAAAGAACTAATATTGCTTTTGTAACATTCCTCATTTTTTAAGTTGTATTATGCTATGATGCAGTTAGGACCTCTTGTCAGTCAAATATTTCCAATTATGGAAGCGTCTCCAGTACTATATTCATTCACTCGAAATGCCTCAGGTTGATCACAGTGAAAGGTTTCTTAATTTTCTTAATACTCTAAAATTAAACATCATTAGTTATGTTGCTTTACCTACACATACATCAATGCTGCGTTAGTCTAATAGAAATCTTTTGAATCCCAGGATTAATTGTATGCTCTTTACAAAAGCAGCCTACTGAGAAATTGCCAAATCAATCCCTCTGTTGTTATTATAATCACCATTGACATTAGCTTTGATGAGAAACAGCGTGGCTTTGTTTGGATTCTTGAAGGTCATTTTTGCTCTCACCTTCCCGTGATCTAACTTGTACTTTGGGTTAGGTGGAGGAATTTGTGTTGTAAACTGATGAGTATTGGTGGAGTGGAAGAAGGGATGGGGTGGTAGGGAATGTTCCTGTTCTGTTTTATTTATCTATTGTAAATTGCAGTGATGGTGTAGAACTATTTTCTTTGAGTTAGTCTAACTTTTTAGGGTTAAGTTCTGTATAAGGGTGTTAAACAACAGAGTGGAAAACTGGTTACCTATGAGGTGGTTTATATAGAAGAACTCTATTGATGGTCATAGATAGCTCAAGAATGAGGGGTAGGTCTTAGGCTTTTCAGAAACTAGCAAGGCATGCTGTAGAAATTGTATCCTACAATTTGTGTCGGCACAAATACTTGTGGAGCTACTAATGTGTGGATATCATGAATTTGTAGCCAAATCAAAGCTTCTAGTTGTAGGTACCAACTTTATTATCCACAGATTGACGATCTGCACTCAACATGGTTGGGTAGTTTTCTATCTGCACTTAATTGAGTAGTTCGTGTGACTGTTGTGACATTCTTGCCAATGTTTATTTACCTTTTTCATTTTCTCTTCTATTCAGAAAACAAACCTTCTGTTAATGTAATGGAGGATGAGTACATCTACCGTATTGGACAAAATTTGAATAGGTACCACCAGTTTGATTTAATCTTATACTAATTCCCTGTCCTGTGCAACTCTTTGGGTTCCTGAAGACCAATTATTTGGAACTATAGTTTGCTGAAGTGTCTCTACCCTTGATTTCCTTATAGATATGCTAAAAGAGAATCTTCTTGCAAATGTTATTTTCTGAGGCCTTGAAACATACGCAAGATTACCCAGGCATACAAGTGCTCTTTGGTCCTGATTCCATTTTAATGCTTTGAAAGAGGCCTCAACGCTATCTGCATTAAACAGAAAATGAGACATTATTTGATGATTTTTTTTGTTTTTGGGGGGGGGGGGGGGGGAAGGGAGAGTAAGTGAGAGATCCCAGGTTCAAGCCCTCCCACTTACATTAAAAAAAGGAGACGTTATTTGACATTTTGCAGAGAGTGTACTTCATTGCAACTTTCAAATGTTAATACGCGCATTTTCATTGTAGATAGCAAGTGTAGCAGTAACAACAAAAAATAATTTTTTCGGTTTGTACAAAACTTAATAATTAGAAATTAGAAAAAGAAAATGAATCATTAACTATAATTGAATTTGTACTCTTGCATTTGGTTTCTTTTTCTCTATTTTTGCAAATGTTTACTAACAGTTAATTCCTTGTGTGGCCTAAACCTTATTTTCCTGAACCATAGAGGCTTCCCCCAACCCCCCCTCTCCCTGATTGTTGTGGGGGGTGGGGGTGGGAGGGGAGGTGGGGGGACTGGGGAGTCTGCACATGCTAGGCTGTAATCTACGAGTCCTCCTAAGTCCTTCCTTGACATAACCCACATAATGTTGTTTCTCATTTATTCCTGAAGATATGAGCATGATGGACACTGAAGCAAGTAGTGTATTCATTTAATCCTTGATCAAGCTAATGGTGCATAAAGCTTTTATAACAATGCGATGCAGAATGATGCTTGAAAACTGGGCTTTATCAAGAAGAGAAACTTAATGCATGAAGTGTTTCGATGTCAGGCTTTAGATGAGTAGAATATTATTTTTAGGGTCTTAGGGAATACAGAGATATTTACTTGCAAACAATGGCAGGTTATGTTTCGTGTACTTTATTATTCATGAAGAAGCAATAGAGCACAAGAGTGACATATAATTAACTTGTCCTTTCATTTTTTATGATTTACAAGAAACAGAAATCAATTCAAGACCTTGAAATTATTATTTTTGAAACTTTTATTAAATCCTCCCCAATTTTCACAATTACCAAATATAAGGTATATCTGTAAACCAAGGCAAGCCTTCAAGTAGTAATGAAAATATCCTGGTACTGGTTTTAAAATCAAATTGGGATTTTTTTCATAGGTATGATACAATGCTTCATTTGATTGAAGACATATGGCTGATTTGGTTGAATAATTGCTTGTGTCATCTTTCTGATTCTAATGCCTTCTCCTGTCATTGATACTAATAAACAGCAGATGCATGGAAGGTACTACTTGATACTTTTGGAACCATGATTCCAGATTACGATCCAGAAGTGGCAGTGTCAGTCAACAAGTTTGTTGATCAGTTGCCGGCTGTTTTTAATCAGGTGACACCCCACTCACATGATGATGTCTATCCAACCTGGAAAACAAATCCTGCCACATTTGTGGCTGAACATGTCTATATCTCCATCATTTTTCTGTCAAATGGTGAAATGGCTTTGTCGCTCTTTCTTTCTTCTGGTCATTCTCTAATACTCAAACTGCCTCAAATGGATGTTACTTCAGCTTGCTGAAGGAATTTCAGAGTTCAGGCCAACACCCTCTGAGAATCTTGACTGTTTCCAGAAGTCATACAATGTTCAGCATACATTACTGGTTTGAGCATGTTATTCAAGTACCAGAATTGATTGAATTGCTCCAACTTCAATGTTCACTTTTAAGTCTATCTGATTCTTTTTTCAGGTCAAGTTCAATGTTGATGCAATTGATCAGACTGATCTCCTTGAAGAGACACTGAAGCCTCGAGCGGAATCTATTGGTGGAAAACTACAGAAAATAATATTGAATGGAACTCATATTACACCTTGCATACAGGTATGCTGCAGTAACTTTGTTCTCCTTTTGTATCATAATCTTTAGTCCTTTGCTTTCTGGGAATTTATGCTGACATGTTGCTACGCCTTGTATCTTGTGCCAATTGTGTATGTATTACTTAGCATGATCTTTAAGTCACTTTTGATAAAAAATTGGAAAGTGGCACGGTAATCAGAACAATCAAGATTCAGAAAATGACATGGTCAACGATTGTTCTCTAACTAAATTTCTTCTTTTTATTCTCCATTTATGCTGAAATTTGTTTTGTTGGACAATCAGGAACCTAGATGGCAAGTGGGAGATATATACTCGCCTGTAGATGCTGTTGCTCAAGGTCTTAAGACAATTTCTTTGAACAACACTAGAGTCCTCACAAGAACAATTACAGACTGGTTTAGTCAACTTGAAGGATAGAGACACATGAATCAGACCCATGATACGGCAATATCTGAATCATGTGAATCCTTCCTGGTATTGGGTTGACCTTCTTCCCTTTGAGTTGTTTGCATAGAATTTTTCTCAGGAAGTTTTGCATGGAAAAGCATCCTACGTTTGCATAGAACTTTCTAGGAATTTGCAGGGAAAAGCATCCTATGATGCGTAGGATGCAAGGAATTTGGTTAGATATGATATAAATACGTAATTTTGACAGTTGTAGGCATCATTACAAGTTACATGACTTGTAAAATATAAATCTCAGACACTTTCTCTCTAGAGTTCTGCACACACTCACACAGATGCAGCTTCAAATGGCACCTCAACATTTAGCTTACTTTTGGTAATTGATACCAGCAATCATTTGTTTTCTATTTGGTACATACTGAGATTTATGTGGTAGCATTGTGCGTAGTTTGCGGGGAGGGGCAGACTGTAGATATAAGTCTCCTATTAGCATCATTTGATATGATTTGTCATGTCTTGTAAATTACGTGCACGTCTTTTGCACAAGTTGTAATCTTTTCCTTTAGGGCTCTGTTTGTTTGGACTGAAAATTTTTTCCAGAAAATATTTTCTTCAATTTCTGGTGTTTGGCTGCAAAAGAGGTCAGGAAAATTTTTTCCGGTAGAAAATCTTTTACATAACTTGGTGTAAAATGACTTCCGGAATTAAGATACAGAAGTTAATTTCCGACAACTATCGTGACTTACTAGTCTCTTTGGTGCTTGGCTATTGTACAAAACCATCAAGTACTACATCACAGAGATCAAATCAAGAGCAACATCCCTGCACTTGCTTTCTCAGTTTTAGCAACTTCAATATTTTTGGTTTAAAAATGAACCTTGGTGGATTGGGCATTATAGTGCGAACATTCGATTATCAATTCATGGAAAAAGAAATTGTTTTCATGACTGTAATAAGTGGATTGTCATATTTTGACATAATATTAATTCACACGTAACAATTGGGCATGATTGAAAATAATTTACTTGAGAATATTAATATGTTCCTTCGAAATTTGTCACACAAGGACAGATGGATGAGCATAAAAGACTGATACAACCATTATTTGTCCAAAAATTACCATATTATTAATTACTAGAGAAATCAATTTCTAAGTCATACCAGCGTATAAACATAGGCTTCATGTTTTTATTTTGTACCAAAATTTTAGGCTATTGTTTTAGATTGTATATTGAAATTGTGTGCAAGATGCTAAGGCACTTCTAACCTGCAACCTCTAAATTATTTGCTAAATCAATTAAAGAAAAAAATAAACAAGCAAAAAATAAAAAATAGAGTGCAATACCGTTTATAAACAAGATTATGCAACACAATATTTATACAATAAGATAAAAGATAAAGCAAATTATAAACTCAGAAGTTACAAACAAACGTACAAAAAAAAATGAAAAGAAATAGGAAGGAAATATTTACATCTTCTTCCCCCATAGCCGGCGACGTTTCCATCCCTCCTCATCTGTCCACAATTCAATGACAACTTCAGAAATGTGTGCAATTTTTCTATAATCTTCACCATCTTCATTTAGATTATATAGCTTCTCCATCAGTTGAGAACTCAACCCAGACAAACCCAGCTTTCGAAGATGGCTCAAGTGTTGAATATCCAAAGGTAACTCCTCTAGCAATGGGAGTCCAATCAGACGCAGTTCGTGGAGACTGGGTAATGCACCCTCCTCCACTTTCAGCCATTTCAACTTCTCTAATTTCTTTAGGTACAAATCCTTTAACTTCAGGAATCCTCCAGTCTTGAAACACAACCCCTCTCCTTGGTAAGATCCCCAAAATTGAATAGTAACCAAATTTGGCAAATGGTGGAGGGGTTCAAGCGGATCCTCTTCAACCCTTAAACTGCTCCAAGCCAAATCTATTCTTACCAAGCTTTGAAGATGAGCTATCCATTTCGGCATCTTTTCTAAGGGGCCATGCAATACTAGCATACGAAGAGATTGGAGAAATGAAGAAGGCATTGAAGATGAAAGAGAATGTTGTTGTTGATCATGGTGATTCAGATCCATTACCTCATAATCACCAGCTTCATTTCTAATTGAAGCAATGTGTAGTTGCCGAAGACTAGTGAGGGTGGCAAGGGAGGAGCAGAGCTCCTTTCCATCTTCTCTTCTCAGATTTGAAATCCCTAACCATCTTAATTGAGTCAATGTTCCTATCTCTTTAACTATTACGGATCCGCTACTGGCATCTATGGCTGTCAATGATTGTAGGACAAGAAGCCCTCCCAATTTTGATGGAGCTTTAAACCCATGAAATCCATGACTCTCATTAGAAGAATCAACATTCTGGAATACCATAAGATGCTCAAGCTTTTGTAGCTTCAGGATTTCCATGGGTAATTCCTTGACTTCAGTTTCACGCAAATCCAAATACTCCAAATTTCGAAGCTTTCCTATGAATTTCGGGACTGCTTTAACCCCTGTCCTACATAGGTTCAGATGCCTGAGATGATACAAGTTGAAAATCTCATTTGGGATTTCCTCCAATGTCTTTTCATCACTCAAATCCAAAACCTTTAACAATCTGCTACTCTTTAAAACTTTACATAACAAGGTTCTGGATACCAGTGGATTCATGGATTCAATCGTAATGAAGGATCGAAGGTGGTTAAAGCTATAACATTGGCTTTCTGGGTGCTGCTCGGTGTTGTTGCTGCTACTATGGACTACCAAACGGCGTACCTTCTCAGATAACCACCTTGTGTATTGTCCAGTAGTAATTGCGATCATATTTTGTTCCCTTGCCTTGGAAAGAACAACTTCTCGCACTAGATCATGGATCCGACAAGCGAAGGGGATTCCTTCATAAAAACTTTGAATCACTTGAATTAGACTCCTATTGACAAGTTCTCTGAGGTAATTGAAGCCTACATCTGTCATTGTCATTCCTTCCCTCTTACCTACAAATCTTTCAGCTGACCATAATTGAACTAAGTCTAAGACAACGTATTTCAAAATCCTCTGGGTAAATGCTTAAATACAACAAACAGGTCTTAAGATGGCAGGGCAGATCATTGTAACTGAGGGAAAGTATCTTTTTGACCCTGTCCAGCATACCAGAGCCTTCTAATTCACCCACTAGGCTGCGTCGAACCATCTCCCATTCCTCTGCAATATTCAAGTCTTTCAAAGCCAAAAGCCCACTGATTGCAAGAATCGCAAGGGGCAATCCCTCACATTTCCCCAATATACCTTTTGCAACATGTGTTAGATGGGCAGGACAACCATTTCCTTTGAAAATTTTGTTGCAAAATAGGGTCCATGAATCTTCGAAAGATAGTGCCACCATTTTGTAGACATAATCTTGAGATTTGTTGCAAGAAGCAAGGCTACATCAGCTTTTCGTGTTGTTAGCAATACACGATTGCCATAGCCATTTTCGGGTAGTGCAAATCTAATTGCATTCCAGAATACCACATCCCATACATCATCGAACACAATTGCATACCTTCCAGCTCGTTGAAGAAAATCTTTAACACATTGTTTCAGCTGAATTGCAGTCATTGCCTCAATCGATTCTGGAACTGGTTTCTTCAATTCATTGTGTAACTGCCGAGTCAAGTCTTTCAGTAGCTCCTGGAAGTTGCATGGTTGAGAGACAGTTACAAAGGCACGAACTGGGAAATGCCTTCTAATATCTAAATCTTCGTGGACTTTTTTGACTAAGGTAGTTTTACCGAGTCCTCCCATGCCAACCACAGAAACAACTTTGAGTTGGGAATCATCTCCCTCGAGTAGTTGAGAAATTAGCTGTTGTTTGGGGTTGTCAATGCCAACCAGTTCAGCTTCTTCCACGAGAAGTGCATCATCCCTGCTATAGCGCCATGTTGTGTTGTTAACAGCAACAAGAGACTCGGCCGCTTGGGTAGTACCGCCGAATTCTGATTGGTATCTCTGATGCCCTTCAGATATATTCAGTACTCTGGCCTTGATGCTTTGCATTTGCACAGCAACCTTACGACGAGCTCGCAAAGTTTTTATGGAGTTGAAAATTTTCCTAACAGAGCCATAGAACCCTGTTGCATGATGGTGAGCAAAGCGAGCTACGAATTCATCAAGAACATCTTCAGTGTCATAAGCGGCTTCTCGTACTTGCTTGATCCATTCTTGGAGCCTGGGATCAGCACCTTCTTCTTTTGTTTCTGCCACTCCCAGGAAAGCTCTCATGTGCCCCAACTCATCCCTGATGAGTTGAACCTCTTGGCGAAGCCCTCCCAATAATCTGCCCTCTTCACGCAGAAAAATTGAGAGCTGATCTAACACAAAAGAGAGAACTGTTTCTGCCATTTTCAGTCTTTTTTTTTAACTTGAGAATATCAGGAAAGGAAGAGAGGCTCCTTGAAATTAGAGTTGGTCATCGGCTCATAATATGATATATTTTTTTCATAGAAAGAAGAAACGTACCCACAGTTAGATTAGAAACGCTTAGAAATCATCGTTAAATCGGGTCAAAGATTAGCCTAGAAGGGATTCATAAATCAATATCATCTAAATAATTAGTAATAGGAATTGCGGTCGAGGATTTTAAATCCAAAGTAACTATCCATAATCTTTCGACGTGTGGGATGGATCGGCTCATAATATAATATGATGAACTTTAATAATGTGTGGTTCAGTTACTTCAGTACTATTGGTCAACAAAGCAAAACCGCGTTCAGATCTGTGAATAGAAAAGGTGTGGGGCTGAACTTACGAGTCTTTGATTCTGCAAACACTTTCCAGACATATTCACATGTGAATCTGTCCTTTACTGATTTACTTATGCAATGATAGCTAATTTGTGGGACATCTGTGTTGCATATCATTGTGATGACTCTAAAAGAATATTTATTTTCTTAATTGCTCTTAAACATGTTTTACAACTACTTATTTATCTTAAATACATTACACTACAAAATATGCTATAGTGAATTATACAAAAGTTTTTCTAAGGTGACGTTTAGTTCGCACGTCGAAATCGGATTCGGATTTGGAATCGGATATTTTGGATTTAGAATAAAATCATTCATTTCAATACATCTATTTGGTTCAAGTATCTAAAATATATATCATTACTATAATTGATATTTGATTCGTTGGCTATTTCGGAATGGAATATAATAAATATATTATAAATCACATCATAAATAATAGTCATTGGCTCTTTGTAAATGGGATATAAGAAATTTTCATTAATTAAATATATTAGTAAATTTAGTATAACTAATTAATAATTTCTATTAGTAAATATGTATAATTATTAGTATAATTGATAATATCAATTATATTACATAAATTAATATACATTATATAATACATATAACTAATAATAATATTATTGTAAGTTAACTAATTAAATTAAATATTAGATATATAATTAAATATAAATATACAAATTTTATAATACAAATATATAATTATAATTATATAATATATACAAATATTTTATATAACTATAATATATATTACATATTAAATATAGTTATTATTATATTTCAAATAATAAATATAATTATAATTATATAACTTATTAATATTATATACATGTATATATTATAATTATATGCACATATAATATACATTTATAAATATACATATATATTATAAATATATTGTTATATAATATTAATAAATTTATAATATATATTACATAAATATAATTATATTTAACTAAATAATTATAATATATAATTATATAATATAATAATATCATTATTATAAATTTGTAACTAATTAAATTAAATATTATATATATATAATTAATTATAATTATACAAATGTTATAATATAAATATATAATTGTAATTATATAATATATAAATATTAATTGTACTAATATTTTATATAAATATAATGCATACTAATATTAAATATAGTTATTATTATATATTATTATATTTAAAATAATAAATATAAATATAATTATATAATTTATTAATATGATATACATGTATATATTATAATTATATGCACATATAATATGCATTTATAAATATACATATATATTATAAATATATTATTATATAATATTAATAAATTTATAATATACATTATATAAATATAATTATATTTAACTAAATAATTATAATATATATTTATATAATATACTAATATTATAATAAAATATTATAATTATAATATATTTTATATATATTATAATGTAAATATAAATATAAATATATAACATATAATATATATATATATATATATATTCATTATACTAAATATTATGTAATTATAAGATTTTGGAATCACACTTGGGTTTTGGAGAAAACCCACCAACTTACTAAAGAATGGAGGATTGCCAAATTTTTAGACATTATTCCAAAGATTCAATTCCCATAGTAGTGAACCAAACATCAATTATGGAGTTTATTCCATAACCTCATTCCGATATCCTTTTACCAAACGCCCCCTAAATAATATTCTATCCATGCAATCCCAACTAAAAAAATAAAAGGAATTCTTTTATTGGCTTTTCCTGAATATATTTTGGAGTGATAGGCTGAGAAGGCAGTAGTTGGGTTGATTGAGTTATTACCTTTTTTTTCAGATTCCTATATCAAAACAGTTACTTTAATTAAATATTTAAAATTCACTGGTGAAACTTGTTGCTAGTCATAACTTGGAAAATTAGGTTCCATATTCTGTACTTCTTTTGTAAGTGTTTGTCATCTTGATACCTTACTACAAAAAAATTGTTAAAGTCGAGTGAGAAAGTTAAGGATGAAATGCTAGAAAATATATATCGTAATCACTAATCAGAAGAAAGAAATTGGAGGGAAAATGAAGCCATAATCGTCCAAAAGGGAAGAAAAAACTAAAGCAAAAGGATGGAAATGTAAAAGAAGAAGCCAAACAGCGACTTGATTTTGAAAGACGAAACTGCCTTACGGACAAAAGAAGCTAAAATGCAAAATCGAGGAAATTATCAAGAAGACTTTTTAAGTCAGTGGGGTCTTCACCCTTCAGTGCTATTCAATTGATTGTGGGTTCTTCCAACGGATAAAGGAGCAGCCATTGCACCAGCTTGTTTATATTTATATGCCTTTTGTATGTGTGTCTCTGTGTGTGTGAATGAGCATTTTGTTTTTTAAACTACTGTAATTTTGGGTTAATATTTGCCAGTGGGGTCTTCACTCTTCAGAAATGACTTGATTTCGCCATCTTCGAACGGATAAAGGAGCAGCTATTGCACCATCTAGCAAAAGCAAATAAACAAAGAAGGGAAGATTGTTTATATTTATATGCCTTGTGTGTGTGTGTCAATGCGCATTTTTTTAAACTGCTGCAATTTTGGTAAATATTTGCCATGAGGGTTTGCAATGACAAATCACGCCAACTAAAGAAAGTCAAAAGTTACTTACGATATCTTGTCATTTTTTTTACTTTGTTTTTTTAGGGGCACACATTAATAATTTAATATTGTTGGCCATTATTTTCTAAGTATATAGAGTCTAAGCAGTTTTTAGTCTTACCAATATTTATAAGTTGATAAGCTCCACAAATTTTTGAGTGCATTTGTGATTTCAAGGACCTTAATAAAATTCTAATCCATATCTTTATTTCTTAAAAGCAACCAGAAACTAGAAAAAAATATTGTGAGAAAAATAAGACAAACTGGAAGAGGATAGTATTTTATGGATTATCAAGAATGGCACTGTCAAAAGAAAAATTTTAGTTGGTCAATCCATACGAAAAAGATGGTATAGCAAAATTCTGAAGTATTCTAACATTATCGTTGTATCATTGTCCTAAACTTCAGGAATTTTGATTTTATAAGACATTTGTGTGCTTCTTTAAGATCTGAGTGTTATGCCTTAAAAAAAAAAAAAAAAAAGATCTGAAATGTTTTTAGTTTTAGATACATTTGGACCTTCGAATTATTTTTTAGGGTTTTATACTCTCTCTTTTATAATCTTTTGCTTATAGTGATATATTATGTTCCTTCTTCACCCATGATCCACGATAGTGGCTCCTTAGAAGAAAGAAACTGCAGGAAATGAAGTATTAATTGTCAAGAAGGAAAGAACGTTCTGAAGCAAAAGGATGGAAATTAAAAAGAAGAAGCCAACGACTTGATTTTGAAAGACGAAGGTGCCCAATTGCTGCAAATGAAGCTAAAATGTAAATTCGTGGAAACTATTAGAAAGACTTTGCTGTCCAATGTCACGTCCCGAGTCCGCATGTGCCCGTCACATGACATCCGCCGTATTCCCAAGTCTCACTCAAGAATACAAGGCTACATTAACTAATTTAACTTTAACAGCACTAAATAATTTAACTAAATAAAGTGCGGTACGAATTACATATAAAAGGAAGTCTACGAATATTCCAGACGTTCGTACATTTATTCTCCAATTGAAACAGCGGAAACAAAAGTAAATAAGACTAACAACTACAAGTAGCTAGCCTGTCAACTTCTATTCATCTAAAACTAATAAAAGTCATCCTCAGGGTCTTCTACGTAAACCAATTCATACTCTTCAGAATCTGCAAAAATGGTAAGAAGTGGGTTGAACGACACATCGCTCAATAGGTAATATTTACCCCTCTATTGGACCATGCACTCTTAATTTTATAGATACATATATGTATAAGTACAATTCAAATCGTTTGCATATCATTCACATCCATAATTTTTGAAAGTAACATCATTTATAAAGTAATCTGTAGTAAAGAATGACAAGCAATTTAAAAGCATCTTATTGATAGTTGTACATGAGAAATCGTAAAGTCATAAATCATTTCGTCTCAAGTCACAAATCTCTTCATATCCATTCATAAATCAACTCATATCAGTTCATAAGTCTCATTTCCAATCAGTTCATAAATCATTCCAACAGATCACCTCATAACAAGTACATGCAATGACCGGCTACTGAATACTCAGCCTAGAGATTAGACCCCTTCTAGGTGGGCGACCAATAGATTTCATGACTATCGATTGATCTCATTTCATTCTTGGGTCAATCGGCCGGACTTTATACCAGGCTACCATGGCGTTGTCAATCGGCCGGACTCTATACCAGGCTACCATGACCTTACCAATCGGCCGGACTTTATACCAGGCTACCATGGCGATTAGATAGGACTATAGCCCCTACCATCTATTCCATGACTGCTCTGAGCTTTACTTGTCAAAATTCATTTCATATATCATATACATAAATCTTTGCTTTCATAAAAGATTCAGCTCATTTTGTATATAAGAACATATCAAAACATTTCAAATAAGTCACATGGTCCAATTTTGTATAGTAAAATATAGCTTTCATAAATATCCAAGTAAAGCATTTAATCAAATA